ATGATATTTAGTGAAAAAAGAACGATATCAAAACCATGGAATTTGACTAATCCATACCCGGATGATAATCGTACTGTGAAAAAGTACGAACCTAAATTGGGCGACCGATCATTTCTCGTGCAGTTCTTTTGACAGCGGATAATCGTCTTCACTCTTTCTGCTTTGGATTCGATCAAACGGTAAACGAACTCAAACAAACTGTGCGGATTCCGAAACATTCGCCCTTGCCAATTTCATAGATACAAAGCGCACTTGACAAACATCAGAGTGTTTTGTCTTGTTATACAGAACATTTTTAATGATTCTTGTACAGATCTCATCCTTTCTAACAGCACATTTCGTATTATAATATATTAGGTATTTCAGTAGGGTAAACTGTTCCACCTAAAATTGTGATATTCTATTTTCTAAGAATGAGCAAGTAAATTTGAGCAAGCTTGAAGCACAGAACAAATCCCTTTTTACATTTTTCAATGCCTAATATTTTCCATAACATGTTACGAAGAAAAAGTAAGACAAATTCATGGTAGTGTGAGGTACTACTCCTATTTGTGAGTAGCACGCAAAAGATGCGATTGGCGATTCCTTTCAACGATCAAAAATGAACAAGACCTGTTGGAGCAGATCGCTGAATTTAGTATGAGAAATACAAGAATATGCATCTACTGGTGTACCGTTTCATTAACGATCCTGTGTGCATGTAGGAATTCTGAAGACTCGTTCCAAACGAGACATTTGTTCTATATATGTCAATTTACCGATACTGTGACCGTTATCCATGCTAAATAACTAACCTCGTCCCGGCACCATCTTGAAGAATTATAACAGTAGTAATCTGAACAGATACAAATCACAAATTATAATCAAATCACGAGATCGCAGTGATATTCTCCTGTCAGAGCCTAGTGTTAATCTGACACAGGAAAATGGTCGTCGAAGAAGTGACTGAATTTATTGGACGAAATAAAAGAGATTGAATAGTGTCTTCAAAGGAATGCCACTGGTTTAAAAGATATTAGCTAGTCGCCTCCTTGTGTTCCCTACGTTGCAGCCGTTTGAACCGCATGGCTTTTGATTGGTGAATAATATTGGTTTGTGGTTCCTTGTCTTGAAATTGTAACACGTGGCCCCTTGATTGGCATTGTCTCGGAGATTAAGATCACCACAAAATCATAACTTGAGGATGAATGAACAGATCAAGATTGTTGTGTGTAGAATATATATTTTTCATGAATAGCAGTTGTGCCGTATTTCGCCAATGACAGCGACTCCTGATCAAATAAAGACAGATAAATACCTACTGAACACATAGGTCATCTGTTTTGTCAGTCGACTCACTTTGGCCACATACCGGACGCAGAACACACTGTTCCAGTTGTATCTCCTGATTGGGCGATTGAGTCGAATCGGCCCCATCTGATTCACAACTCCGTAGTGAGATCGAACCATCAGGCATTGGAATGAGCACCGGTCCTGGGCTGTCACATTGACGGGTTCGAGTTCGAATCCCGACTCCACACGTAGTGGAACAAACAGACCATGGAGACCAGGGTGACCATGCTGGTTGAACTGTGAGCCAGGAAGTCGTGAAATTACGAACAGAAAAATCATTTTCACAAATTTTAGATGATCAAGATGATTTAATCCATATCTCGAAACAAACACCTTGATTTTCATCAATCGTTACCAATTTTGAAGCACCACAAACTTCGAAAATTTCTAGTTCCGGATACTTCTTATCTGCATATTTTATTTTCGGATCAAAGACTGGTTACTGATGGTCAAGCCCAGTTAACGTTCGATGCTCTGCAGAGCCAATCGAACACTGTGGTGCACTTTCAGAACGTTAAGCCGACTGAAACTTTGTGCTTTCTGGCAAATGACCTACACTCAAGTGCGTTGGAGAGGTGCCAGTTTTATGATAAAAACACACACTTTATGTTAGGTATACTAAGATCGGTAGTGTAACACAGTGTATAACACCTCGACCAGGGGACTTGCTCTTATTGGTCCCGTTGAGCTGCCCAGTTGGAAAGCGAATGAACACTCCTAGTAATGGTTAGAAACACTGAGTGAGGTGATTAGTGGTTTGTCGTGAACAGTAACGCTCGTGCATCCACCAACTTTCTACACCAATCTATAAATAAACTGTATACGGTCTTTTTACAATCTGAGTTCATCTCTCAGCATTCCACTCCCCTCTGCTTTGGCGCAACATTATTGATCAAGCAAGCTGGAACCGAAACTTGAAGGGCTCACATTATTTATTGCTGTATACCTCTTGCCCTATTTTCTATTCAGTTCAGTTTCAGTATTTACAACCATTGAGAATGCAGTTTCGTGAGCCGATTTTCTTTGCTATCTTCTGGTCAACCATTTGGATAAAAGCACAGAATGAAGATTGGAATGTTGGAAGCAAATTCAAGGGAAAGATAGAGAATTCATATAGACTGCGGTTGCTAGAANATTGAGTAGCTGAACGAGTGCGATTATTTGCGTAACTCTCCCATATCGCTCAGTGTCTCCGACCACCGGTGACCATGACCTCATGGGGGGGGGGGCGTCCCCATTCAGGGAGTCTAATAGGACCTATGTGACCTAATCTCGTGGTTACGAATTTCAGATCCTCATGTCAGGTCTTAGTTTGACCACAATTGACCTTTATCCAATCGCCACCTGCCTCGGCAAACATATGTTGTATGGTATCTCTCTCTCTCTCTCTGTAAGTGGCTAATACACCCTTCTTGAAAGTTGTATCATTATTTATTAAACAAAAGGAGGTAAAAGAAAAATAGTACAATGGCTTCTGATCAATTTTCTTTTCGGGCCAATTATGCTTTTGCCAAGACCCGTAGTCGTTTAGCTTCGATGCAAACATTTTAGTCGCAACGCAGTAGACGACTAAGATCAAAAAAGTATCGGAATGTTTTGAATTCAACGAATGTTTTTTCCCCTACAAATTTTGATGTTTGGAAAGCTTGGTTAAGAGATAAGAGGACGTAGCGGGGTAGCATGCTGCAACACATGTTGATTGGAGAAGGTTTAACCGACGTGCCCGTATCGTCAAATTATTTGACACGTCCCGTACAGCTTGAGTGTTTCTGTATAACATGCGACACTCCTGTGAGTTAAAATCTCAAGTGTAACTCAAACGATGACATAGGTTGCAGCATCATTAAAACTGATNCTGATGACAGTTATGAGGGTGTACTTTTATGAGCGGTTTATTATCCTTCGGATGACCAGAGTTCACTTTTGAATGCAAAATAATGTATCGTTTGAGCTACACTTGAGATTTTTACTCCTAGGAGTATCGCATGGTGTACAGAAACAATGAAGCTGTACGAGATGTGTCAAATGGTTTGACGATACGGGCACATCGGTTAAACCTTCTCCAATCTATGCGTGCTGTAACATCCACCCCCACACCTTTTTATTTCTTAACCAAGCTTTGCGACATCAACATTTGTAGAAAATAATTTTTTTCAACATTCGTTGACCTCAGATACTTTTTTGATCTGACCCACCTACTGTGGCGTAACTAAATTTGATGCATCGAGGATAAACGATTACGGGTTTTGGCTAAAGCTTGTCGGGAAAAGGTGTAGAACTATCCAAACGTTTGGTCGATCTAGTCCGAACGCTCCGGTTGTGTCCAATATATGAAGCACTCACTTGTACAATTCACAATTTCCAAAGATGATCGTTTCGATTCCCCACAGTTCGTGCACGGACGACACCAGCACGTCAAATTCTGTTGAGCTGATCCGTCAGCATTCGAATCAGTAGTGAGCTGAGCACAAGGCAACGGTGCATCGAACCGCTCATGTTCGGTCAGATTAACCTGATTGAGCAGTTGCTGCCAATCTTTGCTAGACCGCGCCTCTTCTTCTTCCTCTTCAAACGCTTGTCGATCACAACCAGTCGCATCGGTTTGTTCGGACCAGATTGCCGATTCTTTTCGGCTCACCGAGACCGACGAATCGGAATGCCTGTTTGTGGGAACAACAAACGTGGCGGTCTCACAAAGTTCGACAGCACTGTCCCAAACACAGTACGGATTGTGAGGCGACAGACACTCGACACGACTCGCGTGACGAGAGCATTTCAGACCAGTCACGGACAGTCGAATCACGTGTTTCGTGGACAGGATGTAAAATTCTGAGGCCTGGAATGAATTGCAACAGAAGGTAGGATACGAGACAAAAAATACCTGGGATGAGAATGAAGCATGAAGGAATGAAAAATATCTTCTTCTGTGCCGAGTTCACTGTATAAGCTGATGTACCAGGTCACACTAACCACCCGATTCTTTTTACATGTGGATCACTAACTCAACGCACACAGACATATGGAATTCACCAGTTACCACGTGAACGGACTGCTACGGCTAATGATCTTTTAAACTTTCCGCAATCGGTTAAACAACATCGTTTAGAGGTTCAATGGGTGGATTCTAAGGAAAACTTGTCGTGGCAGTGGACTTACATGCCACCTAGTGAATTTCATCTGTCCCTGTAGTTTGGATGGGTGATAGAAATGTGCAAGGATCAGTGCACTTCATGTGTCTTCAAAGGTCTGCCGATAGACCGTGTACCATACTAGAGAGCAAGGCCGGGGATCGACAACAGTATTTTAATACATACCATATATGGGATGTGTATAATGAATCTAGGGTGCTCAGTCTTCATGAAGCGTACATGTGCACGCGAGTATTGTGCCACACACCGATTAGTGGTGGTGCAATCTGTATTCAAAGTGTCCTCTGTTGACGAACCGCAGTGGTTTATTGACAAACCACAATTTTCATGGCGATCAACGGTTCGTCAATATTTGTACAACATTTTGAAATTCTTCGATTCATCAAGTGAGACAGACACATGACCACCCGTGCAGGAATGGAACAGAAAAACGTTTTCTGAGTATTTCACACTGCAATACCTGTTTGTGAGAAATTTAATCTTTTGGAATGTAAATAGATTTAAAATTTTATTGGCAAATGAAATGGAATTGGTTATGATAGATAGACAGTTCACTGAGAAGACTAGTGTGCTGAGACGGAGAATTGAACAATACTAGGATGAACTTTTAATGGAACCTGATTTTGAGGACAGTAATTGGCTAATGTGAACGACCAATGCCATCAGTCCCCAGTAACTCACCATATAGAACTCCCAAACTGTATAGGGAAAGACCGAGAGCACATCAAAGAAGTTCAATAAAACCTACTTTTTCTCTCAGTCTGTCTAAAACACTCGTTGTCTGAAAATTACCCTTCGAAACTCTGGCTTATTTTGTGGATAATTCACGCCGCCTAAAGGAACCTAGGATAGAATGCACTAGCTATTTAGTATAGTGGATTGTGGTGATGCAATTCAGACGATTTTACCACAGTCACCGTCGCACATCGATCCTCAAGGTTCAAGATTCATATCCTTAACGTGGCAAACCATTTTTATGATACATGGCTTTGCTTTCACCCAACCTTTTATAATGTGTATTTATGATTCTATTCGTAAGGTATGCATTATATCTTTACATCATATCCTAGGTCTTGTGTTGTCCATTTGTCCCAATAAACTGTAGACCGTTGCTTAGGTAGGTTAATCCATCTACTGGTCATAACAAAACGACTCTAAGAAAAAAATAACTTCTCTTTTGTGAAACATGCATCGGTTCGAACTTGATTTCACCAAAGAAAGAGAATTTATATGGTCCAGTAAATGCGAAGAATTTTTTTAATTGAACTGTTTTATTCAATAGCTATTTACTCATACCGGATGATGAACAACTCACCGGAAAGCGTTTGAGCAAATGCAGACCAGTAATTGACTCCTGGTTCGGATCACCATCGCCTACTTGAAATCGATCGATAAAACACGCCTGTACTTGATCCACCGAATTTCTTCCCTCATTTATGATAATTCGGTAACGTTCCACGTATACGTCTGTGGCTAGATAAAGGATTTTCGTGGAAGCCACATGATCCACAGCCATATGTTTCCACACACGGGGATCTGTATTGTGTGTGGGCTGTCCGGGTTTGGGCCGTACCAGGATTGGTCCATTGCCGATTGGTTGAATAGATTTGGCTCGGAGCAGATGACCTCGAGGCAACCGACGACCTTGATCTAGTTCCATTTCCGATAGGGTGTTCGAACTGAATCGAGAGCACTGATGAGAATGGAATGAAATGATCAAATACATGTGTTTCACTTCTTCACGACAAATGTTTATTTTTTTCCCAAAAATGAATACTCATTTTTGTCCGAACACAATTGATGAATGGGGTGAGTAGAACTAGTTACCGTTATGCTAATGGAACCATAATTACGCGGATTAGCAATTACTGATTGATATATAAATTGTCTAGAGAACTAAATACCACGCATACGATATAATACTGCCCATCTTTACGAGCTTGTTGCCCGGCTGCCGAGTGGTTAGCATGCTGGAGATCTGCCTCTGTGGTCCAGGGTTCGATCCCCAGTTGGCACGATGGATTCACAGTGCTGATGAGGACCAGCCAGGTCAAAAGAGCCGTACAGTGAGTGTTTCCTAACTTTTCAGATCACGCTTCATTTGCTCTATATTACGAGGAATGTTTTCTATGAAATTAACATCACTTTGTTGAAAGTAAGATATTGAACACCACAAAAACGTTGGAAATATAATAATTTTGACAAGTTCTATATTCTATGCTTCTATTTACGAACACAACTCTAGAAAGTCTGTTACAGTACGAGACCATGATGCAGATTTGCAAATCAGTCTTGTTTTGTTTTGGTCAAACAGTTCGTGAACTTACGATATTCGGGAAATTGTTTGGAATTGTCTTGGTTGGATTGGAATCGTCGGCCAGATTGGAGGAAAGTAGATCACTTTCGAATGCTTCAACAATCGATTGCTTGGTATAAATGCACAAAGCCACACCCCGGGGGTGACCACTGAGGCAAGCATAGGTAAATCAAAATATGGTATATGTAATAGATTGTACACACAGCTTCTCACTGAAGATAGTCAACAGATACAACAAAATGTATAGTCTGTCTCTGGCTGAGGTGCATCCAAGGAAAGTCGCATTTTTCAATATGTGCTCAGATCAACCGTACACATGTTAACTTATGTCTGACAATATCATTCACCTCCTCGAAATTTCTCAGTTACCTTCTCACTTAGTCGTTTACTCCTGCTCGGCTTGATCAACTAATATGCATTTAGCCTATGCTGTGTAACCGAATTAGACGCACACGCAACACCGTTCACTGATTGGATAATGTGGTGATCCCAGCCTGCAAGATAACGCATACCCTGGAGCGACGCGTTACAGTTTTGGGACAACTGCAGCGCTTTGAACTGCATGCCATAGGTCGATCGTACCAGTCAATAAAAATCCGAGCGGCCCAGACAGAAACAGAACAACAGTAGAAATACTAGAACGCCATTAGCAGAGGCCCGAGTGACCAATGAGTGTTTTTTACATATTGTTTAATCCCCCCTATTTCTTTTAATAAAAGAACTACTACTCCTGTGGCCTTTTTCTCGCGTCACAGTTATGTGGGACATTGCGAACAAGGGTCAGTGTGATTCAGTGCTTATGTGACGTCCGTGATTGCTAATCAGTGATTCATATTCCGTGATTCATGTTTCGTGTTCCTTGCGTGCTACTACTACTACTACCATTACTACCACCACTATAGCTAACCCCTCTCCGGATCGCACACAAATGTCAGCAGTCCGACACATTGTCATTTGGAGTGACAAATTGCGTGCAACATTCTATCAGAGAATCCGAAGAGCGCACCGGGGGGTATGCTATCTCAGTCTGGTGCGACTCACAGCTCTGTGGTAATCGAAGTGACTAGGTAGTTCATAAACTTTTGTCTGCAATGTTTGATCAAATCGAGCAATTGTCGAGGATTTTTTCCACATCCAAGAAGCTCATAACCAATGACAATTTCTAGGCAGTCAATGAGGTGTGTTTAACATTTAATATCGCTGTACGGGAAAATCATGGTGAGCTATTCTTGATGGACAGTATCACTGGTGAGAACACAATGGGATTAGCAACAGAAATTAGGCGTGATGACTTCAAGGGTCCCACAGGTTTTAATAAACAATCATTTAAGCAATTAACCTTGTCTTAAATGTTGATTCGGCGAACTCCGAGGAATTCTAAAAAAACCTGTCGGGGCAGTCGGTTTGCATGCTACTTGGTGATTGCCAAATGGCTCTGTAAGTTGGATGGGTAAATTTGAATGTGAAAAGATCAGTGCTATCGGTGTGGTCTCGTAGCTTAGTGGGTAGAGCGTGCGCAGTACGAAAGCGCAGGCGGCGTTCATGCGTGGGTTTGAATCCCGCTGAGGCTACTGAACTTTTAGCAATTTATACCTAAGACTTCAATCGGACAAACAACCATTTGAATATATACATATATATATATATATTGCGATACTGTCTTAATGATGAATGGATACCGCTTGATACAATCAACTAATCTGTACTTGTTATGAAGAGATCGATGAGCTTAGTAGCTGATTCTTAGGTTCTACGAGGCAGATAAAATATTACTCTCTCTCTCTCTGCCGATTTATCGGAGGATTTCCTGATTAATAGAAATCTGTTTGCGATCAATACTCAAGAAGTGCCACATGTTCACAGTCATTATCGAAATCAGAGCGCACTTACCTCGGCGTACCAAATGTGATATACAGCTGTTCATCAATCGGATCCCATAAACCAGCCTCTGCGTGTGTATAAGTGTACTCTTCATCCGGGAGCGCGCTGACAACACCGGCACCATTCGTAGTCGATCGATTGCTCACCGGCTTGCGCAACGTACATTCCACAGTGGCTTTAGCAAACGTGACAAACTCGCCTTCGTTCACATACACATAACCTCCACGATCCCCTTTGCACACTCGGGCAAGTCGTGTCACCGTGCTTCCGTGTTTTCGATCTGTCCCCTCACTGTCCGACAACGGGGCAGTTTTCACGGGAAATGCAGGCTGTTCCGACGGTCGGTTCAGTACTTTGAGTGGACAGGATTGAAGCTGTGATTCACGAAATAGGAAATAGACTTCCTCGTTGGTCTCGAAAACTGCGATGAATGTGGCCGGTTCTGTTTTGAAGATGTTGTTTTCAACAGAAGGGATAACAGGATTATGAGAATAATCAGAAATATTTGTGAGAAATGGAACGGTGGTTAAAAAAAAAACGAAAAACGAAAAGTCACGTCGTGCGAAATGATGTATTTGGACATGACCAGTCAGAAATGAATGCTAAACCTATAAAAGGCGATCAACAAGATATCATCATCATTCATTCGTCCATCTTTTTTACTTACATCAAAAGTTTTTAAAGTCTCAACACGCTTTGGGTTTTGTACAAGCTCAGTCCTTTTGTTGAAATAGCCTGTGCTATCGAATCAAACCAGATTGAATTTGGTCAGTAGACTTGTATTCTACGCAAAGTACCAGGTTGGATCATTAGCGAGGTAACAGTGTACTGATTGTTCATGCTGTCCGACATAGTGAATATAGGTGGTTCTGTGGTTTACGTTTCTTCTACTTAGAATAAATATCCTAACCATAATTAAACATTTATTAAAAAAGACTACCACATACAGCTTGATTGAAAACTACCAACAAGTTATAAGGACAGCCCAATTCACCGCTCCCATACAAATTGGGCGGATATTGCTGTTTGCAAACGGGCAGTTTGTGCCTGAGTTTTTTCTCAAACTTAGAATTGAAATATTATTGTAGAATTAAACAGAAAAATCACAGTGCCTCCTATTGAGTGTGTCCGCACGCCAGAAGTCTACTTGAACAAACTGGATTATATTGATCTACCATTAGTTGTACCCTGGTTATCTTCTTAATAATTCTATGTTACCGACTAATTGATCCTGATACATAATATACGGTTTACTGTAATAATGTGATATAGTTTTTATAAAATACGAGCAAAGATATTGACCAGTTTTCGGGATAGTTCGCACGAGCAGTTAGAGAAAAGTGAAAAATGCGTGATTGGGATAAGGTATCAATATGCAGGTGATGCATACGGTCTTTCGGTTGAAAGGCAATTAAGCGCTTCGTGTGCTTCATAGAGTAGGTTTGGTTGCAATTTATATTTGAAAGGAACGTAAGTATTGCAGAGACCAGTTAAATCGACGCTTACTCTCGTTTTGTCTGGTAAACAGAAGAAAATGTGACATGCACTGGGAGCATCATGGATCCATCAAGATTTAGGTCCCTGTCGTCTTACTATATTTGTCCGCTCCATCGAACACAAATAAGTCGTCTTCCAGCCAATCCCATCAACTCAAATCTCATGCAGTTAGTCTTCGGCTTTTAGATAACCGAATATGGAAGGCATTCAAAAGTAGTGTTTTTAACTGCATAAAGGCGTTTTGTGACGCTAACATAACATTTTCGAACTAACCGTAGTTTGCAAACCATAACAGATTCAGTTCAAAGTTTAAATCCGTGCAAAAATAAACCAATGATTTTAAAAAAGCGTCAAATGAAATTTTGATGCAATTTATTTCATTCTTGTTAACACAGGTTTACCGCTTCGTGTGTGAAGCGGATTTTCCTCACCCCTTCCAGCTTGTTTGAATTAATGGTGATGATGACCTTGAAGCTGCGCATCTCGCTTCACGATCCAAACAAACGCGAAAATACCAGATTTCAACTATGTTCAACCAATAGCCATATGCTCTTTAGTTGATTTGTTCTCGTCCTGGACCGGAATGTTAGCCCGTTGATCGGAATGTTTGGATCAAAAGAGACATGAGGTCATCAATGAGACATCTATGCAAACTAAATTCGGGTTATAATGGCTCCATTGAGTCTTGTGGCATTTGAGTGGAAAAAAATCGGGACGGTGGATTTAGAGACACGTTCGTGAATATGGAAGCATCCGATAGAATTCTGTTTTAAACAAATTCTGAATTTTTTGAGCAAATTATCGGCGGACAAGAATTGATGCATGCGCACATTGATCTATGGAATACGGCTAACCTCGAGAATGATAGGTTTTCAACAATTACATCGTGATGGGCTATTATGCTGCATTGTGCATCACCTCGCTCAAATAACAGTGAATAGGTGGGCTCGATGATGATGTCTTTTTCTATCAAAGTCCACCTCTTATGGTGCATAACCGAAAAAATGGAACACGAATTGTGAGGTTAATGGAACCACCGTAATAGTACGGAACAGGCAATTTAGTGTTTACGAACAGAAGCTTCAAACGCTGTACACCAGAATTAAAGCAGTTGCTTTGTAATTCAAGTTCAGTGAATAATGTGGTTGCTTCCTGTAGAACAAGACACAGATTCAAATAAAGGAACTCCGTTGATAAAAGTAGGATCTACTTCTAATGCAATCGAGGCTTGAGGAAAGTTTTCGCCATACAAGAAGTCCATTCTGTCAGTTGTTCAAGCTGGAATGATTTAGTTGTTTGCACTTAGGGTTCATATAATTCATAAAACTTATTATTCAACTCTGCACAATTGTATGTCATTCCTTCCGAAATCTGGTGTTTATCACCATTTCATCGTAACTCCCACAAGCACACAGGATAAATAATGAAACGGCTCGACGGTAGATTCGCATTTTCCATAGTTACAATTTAATCTGGAACGTCTTGTTCATTTTTACCGTTATGAAAACTCGCCAAGCACATTCTTTTGCGCACTTCAACCATATAATACTGACAAATATGAGTAGTACCTCACGACAATAGCACTTCTATCAAACAAATAATTTGCACCTTCCCATAGGAGAAAGTTATTACGTGAAAAATGGGAGGTAATAGAGTGTCTAACAAATTTTCTCGAAAAATTAGTAAATACAATCGAATTGTTCCAAAACGAAAGCCAGATCGTTAATATGGTAGAAACACATCGTTCCATCAAACAAAACCGATGCTCACCCCGAATGAAATCCGGACTGTCTGGTGTGGTGAGAAACTGGTCCCAATTGGGTAATCCGTTAAAATTGGGCAACAGAACTCGATGGATATGTAGAGCTCCGTGAAACCAACCGGAGGTATAGAGAAATCCATCGTTTGCCATCAAATACACTCCGGGTTTGCGAAGATCCAGTGAGGAATAGACTGAATTTTCCCATTGAACAAGACGAGCACTTGGTTCGAGCGTCATTGGCTGATCAGCAGTTGAAGGATAAAAGGCAAAGATAGATTCAAAAATGTGTGTATCCTTCACTAGGTACCATAAAAATCTGTCGGACTATATGTCGGTCCTTCGCAGTGTCATTATTCCCTATAACCAACTCCAGTGAATATTTAAGTCCCGAGTGATGACGTTTGTTTTTCTGATTCTCAGTATAACTGGATATGATCCGTATTTTGTTGTCCTAAGTTCCTATCGATAGCCTCTCACAGACGTTATCCTAACAACTTCAACCCAAATGTGACTTTCGGTGAACATGTACTGTGGCATGCTTTGTTGGTCAACGAGATGGGAACAGGTTCAGCTTGTCCTTCGGCATACTCTCACATGAGAGTGGTGTAAACCACGAAGCGAGGATAGATTATTTCTAAAACCGTGTATCCTGAATTGCGTCTGTGGTGGTTTTTATCGATTTAAATTTCTGAATGCTATGAAACAATAATGTGATCACATTTTGGGAGTAAATTTTACAAACCATTTATTTTTTATGGTCTTCTTGTTCTTTCATTCTCGAATAATCTTTAGTTCTTGACCCAGCGATAATCCCATCACTTTGTGTTTCAAACAGTTTAAACGTATGTTCCGAGGGCTATTGCATCATATTAGTAAGGTTGTGTTACATAACATGTAATTCCTTNAAACAGGTGATGTAAATATCATTTCAAAAGAACTTTCAACTCTAAAAATGATGTTCCATGTTTCCAGAAAATGTAGAAACCCTTTGTAATCTCCCGAAAACTCATTTCTATCAAGCCACTGTTATTTTCGGTTTTATTATGGTTGTCTTGTAAGGAGCATTTGAGTAAAACATCAGTTGACTTAAACCGATTAAACAGTCGGACGACAAGAGTATGGTGTTTGGCGGAAATACTCGCATTGGACGCCTACTATTGTACGACTATAGTAGAGTATACTAGTGTATAGTGTGTGTGTGTGAACAGGAGAAATTTAGGAGCAGGAATGGAATTGTTTGACCAGGTGAACGCCTCATACCTGAAACGAATAGTCAAATTATATTACATTTAATGCTCTATAGCTAAAGAAGCTCGGGTTGGTGGTTTCTTCGTGCTGATGATAGGATTGAAGTGACATTAGAAGCCAAGTGTACGGTAAGCCGGTACCTCCGCAAAGTCGTACTGATGATACTACCTAAATCCGGCTTTGAAACGTCAAGCATCGTTTTGTAAAAAACAAGACCTAAACGACCCAAACTTGTAGTTATTTGTAATATACTTGTTGCTGATTGTTTGACTGAGCACGCTTCAGATTTCACCTTTCTGTATTGTTTTTTACTTTGTTGTTGTTGTTGTTTTATTTATGTTTATTATCAATCTAGCCGTCGTTTTACAGTTCGTTATTTCACTGGCCATACAACTCACATTGATTGCAGTACACTTGTGGGCAAATGAAGTGAAATGATCGAGAATGCTTTGCGTAGACCCGTCTTTTAAGACGTCTCTTTTGAACGGTGTTTTCTATTCCAAAAGAGCTCCAGAATCATCGTGATTTGAAAGCCGTGGATGGCAAATGTGGAAATCCGGTCAACCGGACAAAAGCCGGCTTTGCATGTGTCATACAAATAACGTACATATTAGCAAGTACCTTGTGCCTAGGAGGAAAACAAATGTTTCATTCAATGCAACATTGTTTGTGCTCACAGAGGCAATCATTATTCCGATGTCCAGTAAATTCCATTTTGGTATTACTCAACCAAAATAAGGATTAAAATGCCATTACGACAGGTGTGCATTTGTCGTGATGGCAAAATTATCTGGATCTATCAGAAAACCTGTCAGTTGAATCACAAGCCATGGATGCCTGTGCAACAAAATCCCTATTCCATTCGGGAGACAGTTAGGTTAAGGAATTTATTCTGTCCATTTGATAATTCAGTCCTTCATGGTTGTCCACGAATTTTTGACCGAGAACCGAAAAAATGAACTGCGATACTGATTTATCCCAGTTGGAATTCGTCATCACCAATCTGTTTGAGTTACGCTTTGTGCCGAAATCATTCGAGCAAAGCATGTGAACGCTAAGCGATTGACGGCCGACATGTTAGCGCTAGGCTAGATGAAGTGAACACGTTTTTTGCTTTGTCGTGCACATTCACAATATCCAGGGTTTGAGCATTATTATTATTATTGCTTTTTTGTTGTCCTAGTGTGTGTTTAATGATTGACTGGAAGTTGTTTTCAGCTAAAACGATATCCCGAAAGCGGGGCTGAAAACGGCACTCTGATACTTTTTCATCAAAGAGGGGCTATCACAATGCACTGGACAGATGATGATGATGATGTCTTAGAATTCGCAGGGAAGGGGGCGGCCGACCGGTTTCTCATTTACCCGATTCACCGTGATTATTCACAGAAGTGGATAAACACGCCAATATCAATCTATGACGATTGAGCTCCACAAGGCACATAGGTAAATGGAAAATATCGAATAAATTTAGAAACAAGCAACCGATTTCTCTATATTGTTTTTATTCGATTTTCGTTTCCAGTCCCAATTTGAACAAGTTCACACTGGTCAGCATAAAAATCTCATCGTAGACGCTTTCATTTCGGACTCACCGATGGAATCTCACATCGAGCGGAATCCACATTCGGGATGATGGTATTTTTCATATAACTAGTCTGATAGATATAACAGTACCATAAATTTTGACCATCGCGAGTTTTGGATAGCAAATTGAAAGCGGCCTGTTCTTCACATGGGGCCTGGAAAAACGAACACATGTACATTGGGGGTGAGAGATGTGACGTCACAATGTATAATTCTGTCAAACGATGTAGTTTTGACTGGATAATATATAGCAACTATATATATATATATATATATATATATATATTGATGAACAAATGACTGACTTTCTTTTATGTGAAGACCAATTGACACTGTTTTATTTGACAGGATCAATGGAACTGACTTTTTACATTTTAACTTTCAAAACACGTGATAGTTGCACTCCTTACTCGTAGCGATAAAGATGAACTGTGAAATGTTTCATTATTCCCCACCCACGCGATGAAATCGGTGTCATGAAATGATACTGAAACTACGCTAGACTCCTCATCAGTGGCGTTTCATTCATTCATTCACTTACTTACATAATAATGGGGTAAACGTTGTTTCAAAATATGTTATCACAATGAATTATGATGGACTGTCGATCGGTATCTTGACGCTTTTATTTCCTCTATGAGAAATAGCTAGCACTTTACACAGGCGGGACCAAAGTCAGATTTGTTTAATGGCGAGAAACACACACAAATATACCGATAAAAAACGATGGCACAGTGAACAAAAGGCGGTATCGCACTTATCCGATCGATTTTTGTAAAAGATATATGACTCTTTTTTTAATATAAAAAGCATAGGTTCCATCCATATTTGTGTTTGGATCCCAGCCAGGCGACTGGTCTTTGACTATCTCTGGCCATGAAAGCGATAACTTTCACATAGCTAAAAACCGATATGATCTGGGCTATAGCAAGATGTTTGGATTAAACCGTGACAAATATTAGAGACTTGAGTCAAAGAAGGTATGAATCCAATACTGAGTTCAATAAACTGTATGAATAAAGCGGTTACAGATGTCTTAGTCGAACAGATTTTTTCTTTTCATTTTAATTCCTTTGAAAATACAAATATACAATTTTCAGGAAGGGAGAAGCGGTCAGTCAAAGGGCTGCCATTCTACACACAGCGGTGAAAGTCAAACGTTAGTGTCGGGATGTGAACACGGATCCCCAGGGGGATAATTTGGTGATGTTACTACCGGGTCACCACCGCCTAAAAGAATATTTTGCAAGTCAAACCCATCAAGAATCGCGCGTTCCGCATCAAATGGTTGCAATACAATTTCTCTTTGTGCTGCCGCTCTAGAATTATTTAATTTTCTGATAATGTTCACTCAGATTTCATACACTAAGGATGTATTTGATTGAAAAAGAATTGTCACATTCCAGTTGGCTGTTCTTTCGATCTCTACAACCGAAGAGACGAAAAAGAGGCAGAACGATCTCTGTCGTACGACACTGGAATAGATGACGACTGCCCGTTCTCCGGTCGGAACGAGCATCCGATTGCTGTTTAGAGAAATGGCAGACTTACCAAGTTCTCTCATTCACTCCAACAAATGTCTTTTGTGCAAAACAATGTTGGTTAAATTCAGCCTTTGAGTATTCTTTTTTCTGTCCAAAAGGCTACAATTGTTTAATTTAAGACGGGGAGAACTGTCTTAGGAAAACTAGAGACCATATGGTTACTTTCCTGAAGTCTGTCCGTGGTATATTTATTGATTATTCTTCCACATTTAACACGGTTTAATGCTCTTTCTTCCTCAACAAATTAGAAACGTTCTTTTGCCCTATGTTGACTCTTTTGTCGTTACAAGATTATTTTTCTGTCAGAGTTCAAGGAACCAAGCTGGACAAAAATTTATCTTGCTCATTGGTTCTTCAAGGTGGTGTAGTTTCCCCTCAATTATTCACTGCTTGCCTTAGTTAGTTACCTGTTCCATTACCTGCCAAATTTGATGTGTAAGCAGATAACATTAAATAACGTCAAACTATTTCAAATTAGTGTGATTTCCCCAGATTATCTGATAATATTGCAACCATTTAGGACTGTTCCTGGCAGTCAGGTCTTAATCCCAGCCTAATGAGATGAAAACGTTTCTAATAACCGACAAAGAGTGCCTGGTGCCTCTGAACAATCGAATGAGCTAATCCACACTTGATACTCTAAATTGTTTGAGCCATTCGTACAACGTGATGACCGTTGACCGTGTAGCTCAGGAGTAAAGATTTGAAGTCTTGACCCGAATGTTCGCGGTTTGAGTCCTGATAGGGACACAAATGTGTGCACTGCTTATGAGTCCCAAACAGGACGAAACGGCCATCCAGTGCTCTCTACCGGTTATCACAAACATTTCCATCACAATTGAATACATTACCTCGTGGGGAATTGCCGATCTCCCAAGGAGTGAAACCCTCACACAAGACCGTCAATAGTGCCTGGTGCCTTTGAACAATCGAATGGACTAATCCCCATGCTTGATACTCTTAATCCCACCCGTTTCTCAGTGAGCTCCAGCGCATTGATGATGCATCCGTTTGTAGACTAGACACCATCAAGTACCTCGGTGTTACTATGGACAATAATTGCACATGGTCTACCCTATCCTGAATGTTTTCGTAAGGTTGAGGCCATTAACTGCCAAACATTCCCTTATCTCTTCCTGTCTTTATCCAGTTGTCTAGCACATTATTCGCTATTTCTCCTCTGTTTTCCTTTCTGGTTTGATCAAAAGAAGAGTTGCATGTGAGTAGTGGAGGATTTGATACAATTTCATAGAAGGAATTTGAAAAACCAGGAAGTACTGTACAGCTGTTTCGACCTGGTTGTGCCTCATCAACAGTGTCTGAATCCATCGACCGAACCGGGGATCGAACCGGAGAACGCAGAGGCAGACAGCAAGCATGCTACCAACCCGGCCACCAGGCATGTGATCAGACTGTTTTCTTTTCGTTCTTCATTATGGTTTGTTTAGTCATTATCAACAGCGTTTCACTATTTTCTATGGACTCTATTGTTACCGAACTGTGGGACCCAGAACAGTGATCCTTGAGAACGTTTTGTTCATAAAATAATCGCAGATCCCATTCATTCTCTTCGTTCTGAATTACCTAACGATCGTTCTCATCCTTCAACTCAGTCGAGTTTTTGGACTCGTTTCTGCGAGAAGTAAGATTTACTTCATTCCCCTGTTTCCCAATTGGCTTGTATTCTTGGCTGTAAAGTGAGAACGACGTTGCGAATAATTCTTTTAAGTTACATTAAGCCTTTTTTCTTTCTTGTGCACACGTTTTTGTTTTTCGTGTCAATTCCTCTTTCATGATGTTACGAATGTTCTTTGAATGAATGAAATCTACGCATAACTGCTCACAAATGTCTATATCACGACACATTACGATACACTACAGTACAATACAATTTCAGCAACTAATCGATAACCCTCGTGCCAATCCATGTAAACGAGAAGCATAAAATCCTCTCAGTTACAGATTTTTGTTCTTTATTTTCAGTTACCGCGAGAAAACGCAGGAAACATTTTTTTAGAATAGTCGCTGTTATTTGATCCCCTGGCGAACTATCTTGTGTAGCATCCAACACCAGGTGCATGAAGTAGCCGTTGCGAACGAGCCAAGCAAAAGCTATCTTCTAAACAAGAGAAAATGTTGTTTCATCGTTCAATCTGTCGACATTTGTATGGAGAAAGTGTAAGAATTTGACTTCGTTCACTTGGTTAGGCGCACAGAATCATTCAATGTCTAACTTCGGAAGTCCCAGTCGCCGAGCCCTTCATATTTTTGTCGGGCTTTAACCGTGTAAATGAGAACGGGTAATGTATTGAATCAAAAACCCAGTCAAGACCTGATCCCGTCACGTTTTCCCACATGAAAAGAAGCATCCTGCTCATCGTTGTCAGACCATATGGGTATTAGTGACCCATACGATTTCCACGCATATACATTTTACCTGAATCGATATTTTATTGACTTCATACTCAATATGTTAGCGTCGTACAACATCAAACTACCCTTAAGTGTATACAGTACTATAAACTAAAACAGGCACTCACAAATAGTACATCAGAAGAGTTTTTAGTTAGATACGTTCTCAACTTTTCAAGTGGGTTCATTATGAGGTACTTGTGCGTTGTTCATCTTTTCTGATACCGTATTCAATTCGCGATATGTGACCTACAGGTATCACGTGTGAACAAAACACCATTTGCGCATCGCGTGCACTATTGTATAGCACGATCGGGGTATCATCTTGTACGGATTTCATCAATCGACCAATCAAATCTTTCTAATGGTTTTTATTGGAAAAAAAGTTTTAAAGTAATTTGGAAAATCCTGTTAAACAGTAATAGTATTCAAAAGAATCTCACCTCTGGATTCCCCATACACAAAGAAACTGATGGTTTCGACGGAAGTTGAAAGCTTGCTAGATGACGGAGGTCGTCCGGATGCAATCGAAGCAGTGTATTGCTGTGAGAATGCGAGCAAGTTGGAGAGTGAATATGAGAAGGATGAAGAATGACTGGTGCATGATAAATCTGTGAAAATGGTAGAGCTGAGTGTGGCAAGCAAACTATCATCTCGGCTGATGGCTGATTGTGCTTCAAAATCCCTTTTGAAAAAAAGAAGCTCAAATTGGGTACCCCCCATGTTTTCAATTTCAAACCCTATTTCAGTCAAATCTGCTAGGCTAGAATTACTAGCGACAGATATGCGTTCCGGACAAGATTTAAAATATGAATTCTATCGGTTATTTTCAAATTTTAAACTTGATGGATGTACTTGACCATCAGTTAGTCAGACAATTGCACCCAATCACTCAGTCGGTCAGCTGTAGTCAGTCAGTCAGTCAGTCAGTCAGTCAGTCAGTCAGTCAGTCAGTCAGTCAGTCAGTCCCCTGCAGTCAGTCGGTTAGTCTTTCTGTTTATCAGTCCATCTATCTGCCATTCAGTCTTTCTGTTCCTTTCCACACTTGTCTATTTGTCTCTGACTTCCTATTTCTTTAGATTATATGGTTATATGCAATATTGTTTTATCTATGTAAGCCGTCTTATATCGCTTCATATCCATCAGTAATTACCTAATTTTTCCAACATGTGGAGATTTTTAAATCATGTACATAATACACTTGAAGACGTGCTTATCAGAAAATACGGTCAATTAAAAAACAGATATCCCAGACGTATTCTAAAATCATTCATCTAAAATACGTTTCTTGCCACGTGATTGTGCACTGCACGGTCAAATAAATTCAAAATCACACTAAAAACAAATTAAACGAATCGGTTAACACAGTCAGGCTCACCTGTTTGCAACCACATACAAACTATTCGAATCCGGAAGTTCAATTATCTGGGTATAGTTTTGAATTCTGGGATCGAAATAAACTGTACCAGCACCGGAAGTGAGCAGCTCTGATGAATACAGGCGTTTGAACAAGGGCGGAGAAAACAAAGAGATATGGAATTGGAAAGTAGACGTCAATCGCACAATGCAACGGAAATCTCAATACAGGAAAGCACACAGTTGTTTTGTTCGGAGTCTAAATCGAAAAATCAACCACTTAATTTCATGTTGGTGCTTTGAATCTGCATGTGTATATCGTGGTCGTTTTGTGGTTTAGACCCAAATTGTCACTTTGTTGCACAACCGAGCTTATGGAAAAAGGAGCGAAAACTTGAGCAAGCACACACCCTCAGTGCTTGTTCGCTTGTAATCATGTGTTCACGCTTTCATCTAACTCATCGAACAGGCTCGTGTAAAAGAGGAAAAATAACAGTGTGCCGGAGATGAGAAGTTTTAAGTGCTCCATCCGTTGGACTGGAAAAGCAANACACATTTAGTTTATCAGAAGTAATCTTCACGAAGATACTGATTATCTCTTAACCACCCACAAGTCATTACGCATGTTATTGGAACGGCTTACAGCGATATTTATGCGGTCACATATGACAGGGTACCTGAACAGGTGAAAAAAAGGAACAACTTGTGCCAAATGCAGACTTAGGTCCTGATTAACGAAACAATAACTGTTCTCTCTATTTGATTCTCATCATTGTACCCCTTCTCCCCACCACACACACACAATGGATACATAATTACCGTATACAAGTCTCTCTTTATCTAAAGTGGTTAAAATCTGAGATTTTGATAAAGGGTTTTGAATGCGAATCATGCGGTCTCGCAAAAATCAGGTCACCGGAATGTTTTAACTTAACTGATTATAACAAGATAAAGGGGACACTGCACATATAATGAACCGCAGGCATTAATTTCAACCAGACCAATTCATCTTATCTAAAAATCAGAAAAGTTTTAAGTCCATTGGAAGTAACTGTTTCAGCCGAATCGATCGATAATCCAAAGGAAGTCTGAATTAAAGCATAGTCAAGGTTAAGAAATGTGGAGTTTGGAGGGGATTTTTCGATTTTCGAGTGCTTATCTTTATGCTTGCAGCTAAAAGTGGTTCAGGTGAATTTTGTTCAGGCATCCTACACAGATTTAAACTAAAAATGATCGTAGACATTAGTCTGAACAGTTCAGTCACGTGATCACTGCGGAAACCGATACAGAACTAAGCTGTTATCTTGTACTCACATAGGAATCAGCCATACAAATCAATGCTGGGTTCACGATTGTATCAACTCACATCAACATCACTAGCTTGATATAAAATATAAACTTCGGCATGAATATAAGTCAGCTTCTTCTATTTCCCCCATGCAGTTGTATACAGTGAAATGGGATCCGCAGGTGATGTACCTTGATCAACTTTATTTAGTAATACGTGACCCTCAACCCCCATGAGAAAACTCACTGAATCGCATGATAACTGCATTTTTTTCAACTTATTTTACATTTTCCTGGCTCTATCAAACAGTATTTCAAAAGGCAATTTTTCCTGCGGCTCTCTTAAGGAGCTAATATAATC